AACTCAAATTAGAATGTTTTGTGTAATCACTCCTCCATAAGCCTCCTCACCCCTTCCCCCTTTAAAAAAATGAAACCATCTTTAGAACCAAGTACTACTGGTAGCAAAGCAGAAAAGGGGGAAGGACAAGGAGAAAGAAAATGGGAGGGGATAATTCATCCTCCCTCCCCTCCATTTTCATATTCCGTCTCTGTCGATGGATCATACAAGTAACTTTGACTTAGTTCTGAATATGCTTATAAGTTAAGTACCTAAGTCAGTGAAGGAGGTTATGTAGTTATACATGTAAATATTGGTTTGTCTGTTTGTTCGTTGACAAGTATCTGAAAAAAGTTCTTCACAAACTTTGTTCAAAATCTCAAGACCGACATGCAGTTATCCAGGTGGAAAGCGCTGAATACAATGTCAACTAAATCTTGATATTTTCCAGAAGAATTATTTTTGCTTCATTCCCTAGCAGAGGCTTGCACTTTTAGTTCTTAAAAGCTCCATGTCTTCCAGCAAGCGAGATAAACTCCTTCACTGTCATCTCGTCAAGGTTGTGAAAAGCCTCGGTCTGGGTAATGGCGGTCAGGTGGTTCAGACAGAACCTGAAACAGAATTCTTCAAGCTCCTGAAAGTACACAAAACATATAATAATAATAATAATAATAATGAATTGGTGTTTCAAACATCTTTTACTACAATATCATGTCCCATGTGAACCCTGACGTACGTATCCCATGGCCCTCCTCAACAGATTTCTTAAATTTTTTTTTTCAAAATTTACCTCCGTATTTTGATTCAAGTGGACCTCTTATCTTAGGTAAAAGGAAACTAAAATCATCAGTCTTTAATTACATAGAGACCAACTTTCGAACCAAGTCATTTTGTAAATTATTTTGAGACCAGCTTTTGAAATCTGAGGTATTTCATGATTTAATTTGAAAGGAACATTTGAACTCTGTTATTTTGTGAAATTGTACCTCAAACATACCTTAGCATGATATTTGATGGCGGCGGCGTACAGCATAGCAGCGTTGTCTACAGTTATTCCTTGTCTTATGATCTTTTCGCAGATTCTTTTCAGCTGTGTCTCACAGTATGAGTTAGCCAGGTCCAGTAGGCCTTAAAATATAAATGGGTATCATATTTTTGGTTTTTATTGATTTTTCTTTCTTTTCTATCCCCTCCACCTTTTACCTTCTCTCTCCAAACCTACATTTATCAATACACATTATGCAGCTGAAATTTTCTAAGTGAAACTTATAACTTCAATTCAAATGAAATTCCTTTCAACTTGAAGAATCACATAGAAAATCACATTTTCATTCAACTCATTTTCAAAATTAAGGCCAGCAAAGGTGGCAAATGATAAGCTGAAATTTAATTGCGTCTTAATACTTCAAGAATCTATAATTTAATTTTTCCTGACAAACAATAACAGTCTAAGCTCAAACATTTGAGGAATTCCTAGGAAATAGGTAAAAAAATTCTGGTTATGGACCCTCACCTATGGCATCCTCTGGGGCCAAGTCCACCATGTCAGAGTACAGATACTGCAGGAAGGCTCGGTACACAGGGTACGTGAACTGAGTAATCTCTATCACACTGAAACATAGACCATATACAGTTTATGCAGGAAGGCTCTGTACACAGGGTACATGAACTGAGTAATCTCTATCACGCTGAAACATAGACCATATACAGTTTATGCCGTATTTCTTTTCTTTTGTTAATTTTCTGTCTCATGGGTCCAAAGAAAAGACTAGNAAAAAATTGCCAAGACAGAATTTAATCAAATATGCACAGATATGTTGAAACATATTCCAGTAAGTCTTACAAGACTAAAAATATAATAATTATTAATACTGTCACTTTTACTGCATAATTAATATTTATATTTGATACATTAAGACAAAAGTCAAAACAATGTTAACAACAAAATCCTCTTTATATTCCACTGGTCCTCAAGATCTTATAAGGCCCTTTTCACATTTAAAACAGTTTCTACCCGTACCACCCCCATTTCAGTGACCGGCTACTGGCTCTTACATGAGGGGCCCCTAAACAAAAAAATGGAGCCCCTGCACTAAGCAAAGCTAGTTAATAGGATTAATTTTGGTAAGTACATCGGTAAGGGAATAACCCCCTAGTTTTATTGCATCTTAAGACCAGTCAAACTGGGCGGTACGGAAAACCACACCGATCATTGTGAAAAAGGCCAAGCAAGACAATTGTGCCCTTACAGTTTCACCTAATTTTCACTTATATCACACTAATGATTTAATGTTTTAATGTTTTAAATAATGACTGGGTTTGATATTTACTTTACACAAAAAATTGATACCAAGCTTGCCGTGTTGAGATTAACACATCCTTTACATCATCATTCTCACAAACACAGTATTTCACAATTCTTTTTTTCAAAAAAGGCCACAAAGGCTTAAAGTGCAACACATGGCATTGACATCTCAAGTCTTTTTTAACACATTCACCTTAAATGTTGCATCCTGCTAGGATGATAGCATGTCACAAACAAACAGTAGTACTCTGAAACAATATGACGCTGCACTAGTAACAACATGGTTAATGTTGCAAATGTGGGTTTGTTCACAATCAAGCTGAGCTGGGCCAAACTGAGATGTGGCTAAAATATGGCAGGACCCACTTGAAAGCATGCTGTGTGATCCCTGCAGGGACACCATGCATGCAAAACAAGGGATATTGTATTAAGTGGCATGCCTTCAAGTGTGCACCATATTTGAACCGGGGCTCAGTTACGTTACGGCTCAACTTAGTTGTGAACAGAGACTAAAAAAGTTAATCCTTAGCATGCATTTATGACTTGCAACGGGAGGCTACATGCTGTGCAAAAAACAAGATCACAGTGCACAGGGGATGCATCCCTTGTCCTTTTTTTTAAGTTGACCCCCCCCCTAAAAAAAAAAAAAAAATAAAAAAAAAAAAAGCAAAAAAAAAGCCAAATCAAATAATAGAATG